ATCCTTTCCAAAATTTCATCACAACTCATAATAACAAAGACAATAAATGTTTAGGAAGCAGAGACCAAACGGGAAACATCACATGAGAAGCCTGGGGCTGTGCCTAGATGCCCTCCAAGTAGGGCATTAGGTCACTATCAGAGAGAAACCCAGCCTGCCACTTCAGCTGTAGCTTCAGATGAGGCAGAAACTGTGCTGTCAAGTCACTGAGCTTGCTCCTCCTCTGCTCCCTCCAGAATCATCAAGTTGAGAAACACAACTACATGGGAAGAGGGAGCATGCAGACCCTGGGCCTCCCTTGCAATAAAACACATTTTCTCCACTACTCTCACCCATACCCAATGCCTCCAGGCACAGAGAGAGGTTTACGGGATGGGACACTCCTTCCAGAAGCTACTGCCCGAAGGAGCACAAGAAAATTTTCTGAGCTCCAAGTTGAGGCAGGAGCCAGGCCCCACAGAGGGTGGCCTGGGGCCAAAAAGAACGCAACTGCACAACCACAAACACACAGGAAGTCAGGGAGGGCCAGACGAACGTGGTGTCCAGCATCCCTTAAGAGGAACCTGGCTGAGCAAGGAAAACCTTCAGCGTCATCCCTCCCAATACTCCTCATGTCTGTCACTTCCATTCTAAAAGAAAGACGCATTTGAAACAAACACGCCAGCAAACCATGCCTAAGAGCCGAATCGTCTCAGATTCACATTTCCCAACAGGATTTCTAGTTCTCCACAAATAATATCCCCGCTCGCTCTGCTCCCCGCTCTAATAATTGGGGGAGGGAGAGAGCGATGTTTAGAGAGACTGAAGACATTCGATCAGAATTCAAGGCAGCTTCTCACAACTCTCTTGTTTATAGAAAATGAATGTCTGCCTGGCTTGCTTTTAGTTCTGGAAAGGGGTCAGTCCTTATCAGCACGGTTCACACAGATCCTGGATTTTTTTTTTCCCTTATCTTAAATTGACCCGCTTTTAAGATAAAGACATAATAGAGAAAGCATTGACCTTACCTGGTCCCTAATGAGTTGGAAGTCAGAAAACCCCGCTCTCATTTCCTCTTATCTCGAGTCGCCTGAGAAGAGACTCGCGCTACCTTTTGTGCACTCGCGCCTGGAGATAGCCCCTCACCGACGCTTCCTTACGCCCGGGGGCGCGCTCGCAGAGTGTGCGGCCGCAGAGTCGGAGAATTCCTCCGTGGGGTCTCAAAATCGGAGACCTGGATGCCAGCCCCAGGCCTAACCCTGCCCCCAGGAGGATTTAAGATCCCTTGGAAGGCTCCCGATCGAGACTTCCCTTTTGAAAGGCCAAATCCTAAGCAGTGGGAAGAAGACCTGCCTCCTGCGAGGCCCGTGGTCTGGGGCGCGCGGGACCTCCTCCGCCTCCAGGAGTAAGTGCCCGAGCGTTTCTCGCGCCGTTGGCTCCGGCCTGGGTCTGATCTCACTAGCGGGGCCCCAAGCTACCTCCCTCAGGGCCAGCCCCTATCCCAGAGCCGCTGCCCCGGCTGCTGAGGCATTCCCTGCCCCCACCCGCCTCCGGGCCTTGAGGACTCCAACTGTACCCACAAGTGTCTCTGTTGGGGGCGGCGGCGGCCCCGACTCCCTTCTCCCCGGCTCAGCGCATCTCTGTCCCGCTCTTCTCGCCTTCCCTGAACCCAGCCCAGTCCCCGGCCTGGCCGACTGAGAGGGAGGCTGTCCTCCCTCTCCGACCCACAGCTCCAGGTTCCCAGGCTGGGGCGAGGGTGGTGTGCGGCTTTGGGATGCTAAACATCAAACAAGGCAAGCCTGGGGTTTCAGGCCCCGAAGCCACTAGAGCCGCTCTCCAGGGCTCTCGAGAAAGTCCCCGTGTTTACTTGGCAGGGTGGGGGTGGGGGAGAGGAGGAAGGGGGGATGCTGTCTGCAAAATCTCCCCTACTCTCCGCAGCCGTCGGGGTTTGGGGAATGAGTGGGGTGCTTAGGCGAGGGTGCTCAGCTTCTCTTCGATCTTGGAGCGAACTGCGGTGCCCCCCTACGTGGGGAAGCTTCTGTCTCTTCCAGCACTTCAGCGCCAGAGATATCCCCAAAAGGCTGATTTCTCCAGGCTGGAACCTGGGACGGAGATGCTGGAGACCTAGGAGAGGTCCACTCCAGGCGAAGACGACAATCGGCTACGCAGGGGGTCACCGGGATGTCGGGTGGGGAATGTCCCCAGGCTGAGGTCTTTTGCTGTACCCAGGGCGCAGGTACTTCTTTATCAAAAAGCTTCAGCTCGCGTTCCAGGGCAGCTTCCTGAAGCTATTAGAATCTGCCGGCCAAGGAGCTGGAGCTGGTGGACCCCTGGTGATGGATGGAAAGAAGCCGCCAAGTCTCTGTTAGTCTCTGTCCCATTCGGAGATGCGGCTCAACTCACTTTCCTCCCTCCTCTCCGTCCCTAACAAGTAAACAGACTTCAAACTAAGCCGGCTTGAGGTAGCAGGGAGAAGAATGTATTTTATAAAACTCCTTCCAATGCAAAGGGTGCTAAGGCCGAGGGTACTACAACCCACAAACATTGTGACACTCAGGTGCCCGCGATGGGGGGAGGGGGCAGCCGCCTTTGCTGTTGTGGGGCACAGCGCTCCCCCCCCCCCCCCCGCCCCCCCCCCCCCCTTAGCCGGGTTAAAAAAAAAAAAAAAGTTAAGCGGAAGCTCCCATCCCCTTGGGATCAGGATGTTAGAGCAAACATCTTCCCAGTCAAAGCCCCCAAAGGAGCTGTGATTTGACCACCTATACACCCTGTCCCAAGACCACAGCTGCTCATTTCAACACAAGTGTTCAAACTTCACTGATTTTTGCTTGTTTTCCAAAATGTGAGGCCTCCAGAGATTTTCCCCAACGAGCACACTCTGCAGACCCAAGCAACCATCCTCAGGGTCTCTGGGTCTCTTCTGGATATTGGAAACCATATCTCAGCAGCCAGACCCGGAATGACCCCTACACCTAAGGCACCAGGGGAGAGGAGCCTCTAGGAAGTCAACAAAGAGGGACTGCTAGTCTGGAGCAAGGCCTTGGCCTAGGCAATTTCCCTCACAATTTCCTAGGGGTGGGATAAGGTGGAAGTTGGATGAAAAGAGACATCAGAGACAGAATAAGAGGAGAAGAGAGGAAGAAAAGACGAAGAGAGACCAGAAAGGAAAAAGAAACATGAAATTCTAAGCATGAAGTGAGTACAAGCCAAATATGAATCAACCCCCCACAAACAATTTCAGGCTAAGAGGGACCCACTCGGTCACTTTTGCTAGGTAGGTTTATCAAGGGTGACACAGAAGGGGCAATAGCCCATTTAGGGAGTATGATTTCTCTCTGTTCAGAACCACTTTTTCCTTCTCCAGGGCAACCCAAAGAATTCCCCAAAAACCACATCTGGGCACGAAAGAGACCAGGAAATTCAAAGTAGAAAGAAAGATTGAAGAAGATGATGAAGATGATGATGATGATGATGATTATTGCTGAGGTGGCAGGGATGGCTGGGGCAGCGAGAAGTAGAAAGTTGGGAACAGGAGAAAGATTCCTTACTACAAAGCTATTTGGGAGCCCAGAGATGGAAACCGGTGGAACAAAGAGGGAAAGCCCAGCTTCCCAAGTCCTGCTTTCAGCTTCCCCAGGCCAGTAGTTGAGTCAAGACCAGAAGGACCCTGAGAGGCTGGGGATCCATGTCCAATGCTGCCTGGGGATAGCTGTTTTAGAGCAGAAACAAGACCGAGATAGACTTCCCCACTTTTGAAAACAGCCTCCCACCAAATTCTAATTTCGACAAAGCTCAGAAGCAGATTAGAAAGAAGGATTGGTGTTGAAATATACGGGGACCATCTGTTCAGTAAAAATGATCCCTCATTCAGGATTATTTAAAATGTATGTTATTTAAAACGCTTTAAAGTTTTAATCATAGACTTAGCTGTATAAGACCACAGTAGACACTTCTGAAGTTTCAAAAAACGGAAGCCTGGCTCTGAAAACTAGTCCTTTGGTCGCTTTCTCTTCTGTTTTCCCTTTCCCTCCTGATGGAAGTAGTTTAGCTTTTTTCCTCTCTATTGCCAAGTCCTAGGACTGTTAAAGGTTTGGTTCTACTCAATTTGGAGACAGAACAAAACTCCATTTCCCTATGGGACAAGGACTCTGTGCCCAGCTCCTTAGCTGGTTTAGAATCCCTTTAGCTCCCAAACAATTCCAATCCCGTCAGGCCAATGATGAGCTGCCAGCCCCCCACCCAAAAATGCCTTTCAAAGCCAAATCAAAACCAAACAAAAGGTGGACTTTTAATCAGAAAAAGAATCCTTTTAATTTGTATAATTTATTAGAAGCTTCTTAGGAACTATATTTAAGCCAGATATCTACATAAGTTACAACAGAAAAAGACTGACGCTGCAAATACCAAACTGCCAAATAATATACACAGATTTTTCAATGCCCATAAAAAATATGATGGGCTTGGGGGCAGGGACTGGGGTTTCTTTTTGTTTTTGTTTTTACAACAAAATGTACAGATTACTAAAAACTAGGTGTGTGGTCCAACTTTTGACAGCGTTTTACAGCTACAAGTTCACATCAAACATAAAACAATTTTAGCCAGGGCTCTTCCCGGGGCTGAGCCAGGGTGGCCAGCGGGTGCTGGGAGGGGGCATTTCCTTTGTGTCATTGACATGTGGGTCCTGTCGTAGAGTCTCTCCTCTTCCCAGCCCCCATCTCCCCTTCAAAAGAAATCTTGGTATTTACAAGCGAGTCCACCTTGCTGGCACAGGGTACCCAGAGTGAAGTTTGCCATCTTTAGAGTCCAGAGCCGTGTCACAGTAGAGCCCTCTCCAAACTGCACCCTGCCTGAGTGAGGGAAACCCATTTCGATCACCCCAAAAGCTGTTTCTTTTTATGTCCTTCTCTGTTTAAAGACTCCTTAAAGAATTGGATTCACTTGGTTGTTTTTATTTTCTTTTTTTAAAAAATTCCCACAAATTTTAGAAAAAAAAAAAAAGACGTCCAGCAGTTTGGCGTGTGTGTGTGTGTGTGTGTGTGCGTGTGTGTGTGTGTGTTTGTGTTTTCCCTTGGTCTATATGGGACAGATTCTTAAGAAAAGTCGAAGCGCAGGGAGCCGCGGGCAGTTGGTGATGTGTGGCCGGCAGGAGGGAAAGCGATGAGGCAGCGCGCTGGGCCCGGCCCGGCCCGGTGTCCTCTCACCAGGTCCGACCATATAGCAAGGTGGAGCAGGACATGGTGCCATAGTCCGAGCCCGAAGAGTTCAGGTGGGACAGGCTGGAGACCTGGCCCTGAAGCGCCGCGGGGCTGGCGGCGTGGTGCGCCAGGTCCGGAGACTGGCCCGCGCTGCCCGGCTGGTGGCCCGGGTGTGCACCCAGGCCAGGGCCCCCGCTGCCCACTGAGATAGCGGCCGCGGCCGCCTGAGCAGCCTGCGCCTGCTGCTGGGCCTGCTGTTGCGCGTGGCCTTGAAGGCTGCCCGCACCCGGCGCCGGGGCGCCTGCCTGGCAGGGTTTGCCGTCTTTCACCAGGACGGGCACGGCCACGCGGCGCGGCGACTGCTGCTGCGCTTGCTGCTGCTGCGGGCACCCGGCGCCCCCGCCGCCGCCGCCGCCGCCGCTGTCCTGCTGCAGTTGCTGCTGGGCCGCCTTGTCCTTGGCTTGGCGCTTCATCTTGTAGCGGTGGTTCTGGAACCAGATCTTGACCTGCGTGGGCGTCAGGTGGATCATGCTGGCCAGGTGCTCCCGCTCGGGCGCCGACAGGTACTTCTGTTGCTTGAAGCGTCGCTCCAGCTCGTACACCTGAGCCTGGGAGAAGAGCACCCGGCGCTTCCGGCGTGGTGCGCTTGGCAGTGGGGCCATGTTCTTGCTCACGTCCCCCAGCGAGCCCAGGCCGCCCATGCCGCTCATGTTCATGCCGCTCGCCGGGCCCATGAAGCGGGAGACTGTAAGCGACAAACGCACAGCGTCGGCGGGGGCCGGGCCAGGCCACCTCTGCCTTCCGTGCCCTTGGCCGGCCCGGCCCACCCCGACGGCGCCCTCCTCACCTAGGCCGCCTCCGCCCTGAGAGGCCTAAGCACCGATGACAGTTAGCGCCTGCCCCAGGCCGTGCCGTCGAGGGATTTACTGGAAAGCTCCCCACCTCAACCCCGGTTGCCTCCCTCAGTCTCAGTGCTCCAGCCCCAAAACAAAGTGGAGAAAGGCCGCTTCTGTCCCTTTCTTGCCCAGCCCCAGCCAGAGTCGTTGGGTTAGCGGGCCACAGGCGGCGAACTGGGCCCAGACCAGGACCTGGGGTCCCACCGTAGACCCCAACTTTGGGAGTTTGGGAGAGTGGGGTGTTCACTTTCGAAAGCTAAAGTCCCAGACGCTTTGCCTCCTGGCCGCTCTCTCCTGTGAGCCCCAGTGAGGGCACCCGCTCGCACCACTTAGAGCCCCCTCTGACGCCGCGCGCCCTTCCACCTGCCTAGACTGGAGAGCCAGCCGGGCGGGTCCCCTGAGCGCGTGGCAGTAGGGCAGCCTCCCGCCCGGCCAGGCCGCGCCTCTCTGCTCCCTGCTTGCCCCCAGCTCCCTTAATTTTTCGGGGTGCCGGAGGGCGATCCCTGGGCACTCCGAGGTCTCCTGAGCGGAGCAGAGCTGCCAGTCGGCCGCATCTGGGAGACGCCAAAGGCTAGCATCTGCCGCAAGTCTCCAGCGTTATCAAGAGTCCCTTCTGGGACCCTCAGTCCGGCAGGGGGAAGGATCCCCGGCCCCCGTACCCTGCTCCCTGGCGCGGCTTCCGGGCCGCCCACCCTGACGCCCAGTGCGCAGCCGGCAGGCGCTGCGCCTGCGGGACTGCTCTCCCCGCTCCTGCCGCACTCAGCCCGCGGCCCGGCAGTGGGGCGGCCTCACTTACTGGCGGGGAAGCGCGGGTCTGGGTTGGCGCCGTACCATCCGGGGCCCGAGGCGCTGTTCCGCATGGTGTCCTGGTACGGCGGCAGCTCGCTCATGTTGCCCAGGTTGCCGTTGCAGTAGCCCCCCACGGCGGAGTGCGAGAGCTGGGGCACCCCCGCCGCCGTCATGTGGTAGGCGGCCGTGACGGCGCCGTGGTGCCCCACGGCGTGCTGCTGCATGGCCGCGGCCGGCGGAGCCGCCTGGCCCTGCCTGTAAGCCGCCAGCGGAGCCCCGAGGCCGCCGCCCTCCATGCCCACTTTCTTGTAGCTTTCCTCCAGGGGACTCAAGATGTCAGACACTGAGAACGGAGTCGTGTGCTTTGGACTCATCGACATGATTCGGCGGCGGCTGGAGGAGGAAGGAAGAGGAGGAAAAAAAAGGGAGAGGGGGAAGGCGAAGCCTCGCTGCTTTTTTTTTTCTCCCTTTGCCAAATATTCTGGTGTTACCTTAACGCCGATCTTGTTGGATGTACACGTAACCGAGTGGACCGAGTCCGCCTTAATTGGCTTGAGTGGAGGCTCGGGGGCTGCCTCGCGTTTGTTTTAGCCCGGCGCCAGGTTTTAGGCAGCCACCAGAGGCGGGGCGTAAGCGCTAAAGCAACAAGACAATAGAAGCCTACATCTTGCCCGAGATAATTAGCTTACATGCTGATGACAAGGTAAACACCTTTAAGTTTCACTTGTCAGGATTTTTTAGGTCTCAAAGAGGGAGAGAGAGAGAGAGAGGCTGAGACGCGACCCAAAGCATTTCTTTCCCCCTCCCCGGACACCCCCACCCCATTTTTTGTGGGGTGCGGGAGGCGCGCGGGGGGGAGACGGGGGAGGGAAAGGAGGAGGGAACCGAGAGAGGGGAGGGCAAGAGGTGGGGTGAGGAGTAGCCGAGGAGGAGGGATGGTGGGGAGGAAGGAAGGTGAATGCTGCTTTGCAACCAACTTTCGGAGTTACAAAGTGAACCACTTTCCAATACAGTCGGGGTTCCCGGGAGGGGACAAGTCCTTAGAGGGAGGGGGCCAAGGGACAGGGTAGGGGTTTCACCTGAGCCTGCTGGGGCTGCTCCTCCCTCCCGCCGCGGCCTCCCAGCCCCGCGCCTTCCCACTGCCTCCGGACCACATCGGGCGTCGCGGCGCCGAGCCCCAGTCGCCACCAAACGAGCTCGCGAGTCTGGGGACGAACCCTGGGACCGCACTGTTGGTCTGCGTGTCTGTCCGTCTGTCTGCCTCTTCTGCCGCCGTCAGAGGGACACCTCTGCTCCCCGCCCCCTTTCCCCCTACCCGAGAGAGAATCCCAGCGGGCGGAGGGGACGCTGAGCAAGGGATCGGCTGCCTCCGAGAGGCTGTCCCAGATCCCCGCGTCCCCCTCCCCCCACCTCAGGGTCTTCTCAGCGGTCCAGGGCCCCCTCCATCACGCCCCCCCCCACAACCCACACGTGGAACCTCTCCCCACCCCCATTCCCCGCCAAGGCAAGCACACTACTGGCCGCCAGTGCTGGGAAGCTGGGGGGCACTAACCCCAAGGGCCATTGCTGAAGTTGCCCCACCTCGAACAAACCTGGTGTCCCTGACCCTCGCCCATCGCCCGGACACGCTGGGTTCTGGGGCTGGAGCTGACTTTCCGAGGACATCACAGCCCCAGCACCCGAGCCCAGGGCCACGCTGTTTTCCCCTCTGATGCTTCAGGGAGGGCGCGGGCAGGGAGCGTCGTGAGTACCCGCCCGCCTGTTGCCGGGCGGAACTGAGCCTGAACCCCGGCGGGACCAGCTGGCCGGGAGGGGGCGAATCCCAAGGCGCGAGCAGCCCAGCAGGCGGGAGGCTGGGCTGAGGCTCGCCTCCGCCCGGAGCTCAGCCATGCAAAAGTGCACTTGCTTCCCCGGGAATAACCAAATATCTTTGTTTAAAGTGGCGGCGTAATGGCCAGTCGCTTTGTGGCCACGCTGGATATTAGTAGATGAGGATCATTCTGCTTCAATTGGGCGCCTCTCATCCCGCGAGCAAGAAACTGCTTAGAAGGAAGTGGGTTTCCTGTCTGCGCTTCCCAGGCTTCAAGTGTGAGCCCCGCGCCTTGAGGGTCCTTGGGCTCTTGGAGAGGGGGAGCTGTGGGCTTTCGCTCCCCAGCCCGGCCAGAGGCACCCGCCGTGCTGCTCTGGCCAGGCCCGGGCCTCCAATCCAGTGGACTGCAGTGTCGCGCCCTGCCGTGGCGCAGATCCCGAGACCCACTCCGACTTTCCCCTCCTGGATTCTAAACGTTTTGTTGTTGTTTTGCTTTGCTTTTTCTTCTGCTCTTTGAGGCTCCTCTCTGGACTAGGGGCTGGGAGGGTGGAGCACTCCCTGGCCAGGCTGGGTCTTCCAAGACACTGCGGCCGGTTAAGGAGGCTTCTCGGATTTGTTTTTTGTTTTCAAATTTTCCTTCCCCTCCTTGTAGAGAAGGAGCTCCCAGTAATGAACAGGCACTTTTGAACGATTTAATTCAGCAGGTTAGGCGCCTCTTCCATTAACAGCAGTTGTAGTAAGGAAAGTTGTTTTGTTGATTGGCTTGTTATTTTAACATTTCAGTTCTCTCCTTGAGAAGTGCTCTGTATTCCCTCAATACAAAGGCAACTTCTATACTGACATTCGCTTTCCCCACCACCTATTTTGCTTATGAGAGGAGAGGAAGCCCAGGGTACCCCCTTCCTCCCTCATGGGCCAACATTCTCATGCATCACCTTTGCGCTTTGGGGCAGACAACCCTGCATTTGGGAACCGAGACCTGCTTGTCCGTTGTGCCATGAAGGACAAGCACCAAGCTGCCTCCTTGCCCTTTTATCAAGGGGCTTCTCTGGGGTGCACTCTCAGGAAGACTCAGACTCCAACTGAGCTTTGGTGGATGTGATGTCTAAGCCCAGGGAGCAAGGAGAGAAGACCACGCGGGGCTCAAGTGAACCGTCGGGGAGAGCTGACAAAACTGAATACAAATCCTGCCTGCAGGCGCCCCTAGCCCCTGGGGTTGTGTTTGGACTGGGGTCTTAATGACAAGGCAGGGTGGGTTTCCCATTCCCCTGTCTTCTTTCTCTTTCTCCCTCTCCATTATTTCATATTATTGGTAACTGTAAGAAACGCCAAGTATAGAATGTTGTAGCCTCTCCGCTCTCAATGCCATTTAGAAAAGGAGGTGATTCTTTACAAGGTTTCTCTGAAATTCAAATAAGATCGGGCACATAAAAGCGCTTTGAAAGCTTTGGAAAATTTCTTATTTCATTGCCAGAGCTCGAGATTTCTGTATTGTCATTAGTACCCCCCCCCACTCTGCCCTGCCTTTAAGGCCTTGAATCTGAGTGAAGGGGAGAGTTAGGCGCATCTTACGCGGTCCCTGAGCCTCGGCCTTCGTCCCTCGCCAGCTTTCCAGCCCTGCAGCAGGCTCAGCGGCACACGTGGCTAGCAGCCCCCACCTCCCCCTCGCCCAAGGCCTGCCGACCAGACCGTGACCCCCAACCAAGAGCAGGTGTTGAGACACCGCCTGGAGCTGAAGCCGAACAGGGTTTGGGGGGGTGGGGGCGGCGCCCGGTTTGGGCAGCTACTGCATGCAACCCCTCCCCCGCAACCAAGATCCCGCTGCTACCTTGCCCCCCCCCCCCCCCCCCGCAGGCGCGCGTACCCACACCAGCCCTAGACTAGACCTTACCTGGGCCTTTGCAACACCTTGCGGCCCCCGCCCACCTCTTCTACCTCTGCCCCTTTCTCTCTCTCTCTCTCTCTCTCACACACACACACAAACACCGCCCCACACTCTTTGCCAGATGTGCTGCACTGCCAAGACTAAGACGTCCAGTCTAGCCTGAGGTGGTAGGAGGAAGACTGGTATCTCCATCTCGAAGCTTGATCAAGCAGAGAATTTGAGAGTCCCTCCCCTGGCCCCACACCTCTTCCTAACCAAGGAGTGTCCTTTTTTTTTTTTTTTAGCTGCCTCCTAGAGTCATCTTAAGTAGGGTGACCCTGGTTAAACTGGTAATTTCTTCATGGTTGCAGGAAATACTTGGGAACCCTGAGGTTCCCCCCCCCACCACCACCACTGTGACTTCAGTAACTCTCCTGGGCAGAGTGGGTGCAGTGGTGCCCAGTTCTGGCTTCTCAGGGAGCTTTCCCTGGTGGGGTCCCCCGCGAGCCCACCTCAGTCCCTGACACACTGCTTTGCTCTCTGCAGCTTGCCCTGAAATCTAAGGAGCCGCAGAGGCTCAGGCTCAGGCCCAGAGGGGAGGACAGAACTGCCTTCAACCTTTGTTCACCACCTGTGTGGTGAAGGGAAACCCCTTTCTGTCCCAACAGAGTCACTTCTCTGAGAATTTAGAACAGAGGATTCTTCCGGAAGGCTGTATGACTCAGGCTCTGTAGCTTGGACAGCCAGAGGAATGAAAAGTCCTCCCTGGTCTCTCACCACATTTTTCTAATTCTCTTCATGGTCCTTCACACCTCTTCTAGATCTGTGAGAGACCATGTGCCCTGGTGGTGTTATTTTGCTCCAAGTTTCATCACAATTTGTGATTTATTCAACAAATATTTATTGAGTGCTGGCTCTGTGCCAGGTTCTGTGCTGGGCCTAAAAAATCAGCTTTAAACAAGCTAGATGTGGCTCCTACCCACACAGAGCTTATAAATTAACAATAAATCACCCAAATGATATGCATGTAGTCCCTTTGTGACAATGTTACTCTGGGATCCAACTGAGATAGAAAGGGTTTTGACGAATGGGTGTGTGTGTGTGTGTGTGTGTGTGTGTAGCAGGGACGGGGTAGGTTCTTCACATTTCTGATCTTAAAGTGCTCCGGGGTGGTAGGCAGAGCATTTGAGTAGAAGTCAGAATCCCTGGGGTTCAAGCCCTGGTGTTGTCACCTTTCAGCTCTGTGGTATAGCTCTCCCAGACTCCCACCATACCCCAGAGCTGTTCCCATCACAGCCAGAGTAAACTATGGCGGTGTTTACTGTCTCCCTCCCTTATAGTGAAACCCTGTTTTTATTTATCCTTGGATCTTCCAGTGCCTCAAGAAATTAAGGAATTAAGGAAACAGAGCCTCTTAGCACCTGATTCCTGAGAAGCCCCCCCCCAAAAAAGTGTCTTAATCTCCGTTTGTGTACCTCCCAGGTTGTACTAGGGATCCAAGTATTTAAGGATGAGATCGTGTGCATGAATTTGTAAAGCACAAAAATCGCTAGCAGATGGAAGGAGTTATTACTTGCGGTTCTATATCTTGAGTTTATAGAAACTGAATCCAGGCCTCTAACTCAGCATGAATCTCTCTGGGCCCTTGGCTGTTCCTGCGCCCAGGCCGGCAATGGGCTAGCCTTCCTCAGCCGGGCGCAGCGCCCCTCCTCCCGGGCCTGGCTGAGCTGGTCTCCCAGGTGTCATCGAGGCAACTCCTCCCCAGGGAAAGGAAAGCAGGAACGCAGCCAGGCCCAGGGAGAGGAGGATGTGGCTGCTCCGCAATCTCGAGATCCAATGAACAGAATCCGGCGCCCCCTCTGGAAGGCGTCTCTCTTTCCCTGAAGGACCTCCCTGGAACTCGCTGCGCCTTTTCCCCAGGCACCAGACTTGAGAGCCTCTGGAAGATCTGAGCGAAGCCTGGGGGCCTGCAGGAGGGCGGCTTTCCCCAGGGAAGCTTTCGCAGGCGTTGGTCCAGGAACCGATCCGGAGCTAAGGCGCGCTCCCTCTACTGCTCCCGGTCCTGGCTCCAGCGTCCAGGGTGTTTGACCTCCAGTTTCCCTTTGCGGACGCTCTCCTCAAACCATGGCCTTTGGGCAGGCCCTGGGGGTGGGGTGGGGGTGGGAGGTGACCCTAGGACGTCTGAGAGTAGTACTCCAGTGCCGCCCTCTCCCTGCACTGGCGCGCTCTGCGGTTGGAGTGGCAGATGAGGTCGTGCGCGTGAAGGCCAGAGTCCGCGCAGAGAGGAGAGTCCACTCTCCGGCCTTTGCTGTCGAAGAGGCTGACACCTGTGGTCTCGGAACCTGCTTATTTTCATGTCGCACATTTCAACCTAGATTCAACTTGTCCCAAGTTATAGTCAGAGCCCCTATGGTCAGGGCGCCCCCTGGCGGGAAGGGATCTAGGGTAGCCGCAAGTTGGGGGAGTGGACTACAAAGTAGTGAGAAAGGGGGGGACTCAGAGCTAGCAGCACCTTTGAAATGCGGAGAAACCAAGACAGGGGTGGGACGTGGGGGAGGCTGGCCTGCAACTGCTGGGAGACCCGGCGAGGCCAATGCGGGGAGCCCCGGAAGACCGAGGCACCAGTAGAGCCTGAGCCCTATAGAGAATTGGCTGGTTTCCGCCCAGTTCTTCGTTTCTGTTTAAATTGAGAGCCTGTAAGTGGGCAACAGAGTGGACGGTGGTGAGTCCGCCCTGGTTTGGACAGACGGGAAACCCCCATCTTAAGGAAGGCGAACATCCCCAAGAGGCGCGTGCAGTTAGCGGGAAACTTTTGGAGCCACGGATGAGGCCAAATGCCAGATTCAGGAAGGATCCTCGTGGCGGCGCGGCTGTTTTCGCCCTAGGACCTGTGCAGCTGCATACAACTTGAGATGGCTGAAGCCTACAGCTCTTCCTCCCTTTCATCTCCCATCAAACCCAAGCCCCAGCAGTGGGCGCCCATGGGCCTATACAGTAGTAGTTGCGTTTTCCTCTGAGTCGCCAGCAGCGCTCTGGGGTTTATTTTTCCGCTCCTTTCCCCTCTCCAATCTCCCACCCTTCCCCGAACCCCCAACACTGGGCTCGGGCAAAGTTTCAAGGAGCAGCATTGCCACCCTCACCTCCACCGCCGCCCCCAGCCCCCGGTTCTCTCCCGGAGATTTCCGCGGCTTTAGGTTTTCTGGGACTTGACCTAGGCGGATTCCCCACCCTTCACCTCCCAGACTCCGGGTCTGTCTTGGACAGTTGCGGACCGATGCGATCCGCAGCGCCCTCTTCCAGCCATCAGGAGAACTGCATCTTCAGGGCCGTCCCGAGAAAGAAAGCTTTGTTCCCAGGTCCGCCAGACAACACTGGTAGTGTTCAGACCCTCACAGTAGTTCATCCGCTACGGATTTGCTCATCTAACTATTCATCATACTG